AAGTGATGGTGAAAGAATAAAAAGGAGACGGGGCGTGATGTTGAAAGAATGACAAAGGAGAGACCCAGTCTAAAAATTATCACAGCTATCTGAGCGGCCCACAGACGGAGTTCGCAAGAAATCTATCATCTACTTAACTAGTGTACCAGCTAGAGGAGTTTGCAACCTTGTGACCTTGGACCTCTTTCTGTGTACTGTATACGGTGTTGACTTAATACATGGCTCTCAACCTTCCTAATGTAGCGAACTTTTAATACAGTTCCTCATATTGGGGTGACCCCCCAAACATAAACAAATTTTCGTTGATACTTCATGACTTGTTCAAGTAACGAAGTCGGGCCCAGAAAGAGAGTGACTTCCCTTGCCATTCATGCCTCGTCGTGTCTGTCCTATGTTGCAGGGGTGTCACGCTTAGTGAGCGTCCGGCAACACGACGTATTTTACACGTTGTTGTCATAGGCTGCACTCTCTCGTGGGACGTAGGCCAAGGCTGTGGCGTAGGCAGGTTTGGGTTAGGGCCAGTTCTACATGTTTTGGGACTGTTAAAAGCGTTCACATCATGGAAAATAGAACCCACGATATCGCCAGCTGCAGGCAACAACTCGTAAAATACGTCGTGTTGCTGGCCGTCACTATGCGTGACACCCTTGCAACATAGGACAGAACCTGCAACACGACCAGGTATGTTTGGAAAGGGAAATCACTCTCTTTCTGGGCCCGACAACATTACAAGCACCCATAACTCAAGTGAATATGTGTTTTCCGATGGTCTTAGGCGACACTTGTGAAAGAGTCGTTCACCCTCAAAGGGGTCGCGACCCACATGATGAGAACCGCTGGCTTAATATAAACTGTCCTACATCTATTTAGAACAGTTTTAAAAAAAGAGGGGGGGGGGAGCGGGGGGTTAAACACCAATGAGGTTATTTCTAAAGTCGGTTCGTGACCTCTAGAGTTCATGAGATTTCAGATCAGTACCTTAAGTTAGGTTAGTTGTGTATCCTTTACATGACGTTGCAGAACCAACCCCATCTTCTTTATTTATTTATTTATGGTTTCTCTAGGCAAATTTACGTCCAGTAGTTTGCCATTGCTTACTGGGCGGTCGGCTTTCTTTATACCACTCTCGAAACCAACGCAAGGCGCATGACCCGCAGCTGGGATCGAACCCGGCATATCGAAGCGTTCGCATCAACTTAGCCACAGAGCCGTCTCAGTCGCTTAAACAACATTAAAATATACATTTGAAAGAAAACAATCGGCTGTTTTCTTTTTCTTCGCGTTCACTGACTGGCTGTAAACTATGTAGTACTGGCTGTTCGTCTTGTTCCAGAATGAGAGCTTGTCTGCCCATAAATTTTATAAATCTAGCTTTTTTGTATGCAGACTGTTTGGTTCCTTGCCTCTCAGGCTGATGCACCCCGATTTCGAAAGGGCAAAAGGGAAGACCCAATTAATCGACTTGAACGACATGTTTGTTTAGGAAAGGAAAGGGTCTGTGCTTGTTTCTCCAAAAAGGGAGAAGTATAATTTCATTATCAAGTGCCTTGTCAGCAGGCGTAGGAGTTCATGCATCTCCACAGATCTCGGTCTTTGATGTTCTGGATCAATTCCATTGATGATTTTCATCCATGCCACTGTCTTAAGCCATCCACCATCATTTCTCTTGGTCTGCTCTGCCTCTTCTATCAGTGATCTTTCCAGTCGTCACAATATTTTTCAGAGCTCCGCTTTTCATAACATGACCAAAGAACTTGATAGAAATATATGATCAGTTCAAGTGCGCAGCGCACGGAGTTGCAGGTCAAACCAGGCTGGCATTTTTGCTGTAATGGGTTTCCCCAGTGCTAAATTTAGGCTCAAACTAACTCAGCTACAGTACAGGGGGCCTCATTCAAAGTTTACCTTCTCTAGACAGATTCCAAGGTTACATGTCTCTAGATAGATTCCAAGGTTACATGTCTCTACATAGATTCCAAGGTTACATGTCTCTACATAGATTTTAGGGTTACTTGTCTCTACATAGATTCTAGGGTTACTTGTTTCTAGATAGATTCTAGGGTTACTTGTTTCTAGATAGATTCTAAGGGTTACTTGTTTCTAGATAGATTCTAAGGTTAACTGTTTCTAGATAGATTCTAGGGTTACTTGTTTCTAGATAGATTCTAGGTTACTTGTTTCTAGATAGATTCTAGGGTTACTTGTTTCTAGATAGATTCTAGGGTTACTTGTTTCTAGATAGATTCTAGGGTTACTTGTTTCTAGATAGATTCTAGGGTTACTTGTTTCTAGATAGATTCTAGGGTTACTTGTTTCTAGATAGATTCTAGGGTTACTTGTCCCTCTAGATAGATTCTAAGGTTACTTGTTTCTAGATAGTTTCTAGGGTTACTTGTTTCTAGATAGTTTCTAGGGTTACTTGTTTCTAGATAGATTCCAAGGTTACTTGTCTCTAGACAGATTCCAAGGTTACATGTCTCTAGATAGATTCCAAGGTTACATGTCTCTAGATAGATTCCAAGGTTACATGTCTCTAGATAGATTCTAAGGTTACTTGTCTCTAGATAGATTCTAAGGTTACTTGTCTCTAGATAGATTCTAAGGTTACTTGTCTCTAGATAGATTCTAAGGTTACTTGTCTCTAGATAGATTCTAAGGTTACTTGTCTCTAGATAGATTCTAGGGTTACTTGTTTCTAGATAGATTCTAGGGTTACTTGTTTCTAGATAGATTCTAGGGTTACTTGTTTCTAGATAGATTCTAGGGTTACTTGTTTCTAGATAGATTCTAGGGTTACTTGTTTCTAGATAGATTCTAGGGTTACTTGTTTCTAGATAGATTCTAGGGTTACTTGTTTCTAGATAGATTCTAGGGTTACTTGTCTCTACATAGATTCTAGGGTTACTTGTTTCTAGATAGATTCTAGGGTTACTTGTTTCTAGATAGATTCTAGGGTTACTTGTTTCTAGATAGATTCTAGGGTTACTTGTTTCTAGATAGATTCTAGGGTTACTTGTTTCTAGATAGTTTCTAGGGTTACTTGTTTCTAGATAGATTCCAAGGTTACATGTCTCTAGACAGATTCCAAGGTTACATGTCTCTAGATAGATTCCAAGGTTACATGTCTCTAGATAGATTCCAAGGTTACATGTCTCTACATAGATTCTAGGGTTACTTGTCTCTACATAGATTCTAGGGTTACTTGTTTCTAGATAGATTCTAGGGTTACTTGTTTCTAGATAGATTCTAGGGTTACTTGTTTCTAGATAGATTCTAGGGTTACTTGTTTCTAGATAGATTATAGGGTTACTTGTCTCTACATAGATTCTAGGGTTACTTGTTTCTAGATAGATTCTAGGGTTACTTGTTTCTAGATAGATTCTAGGGTTACTTGTTTCTAGATAGATTCTAGGGTTACTTGTTTCTAGATAGATTCTAGGGTAACTCGTTTCTAGATAGATTCCAGGGTTACTTGTTTCTAGATAGATTCTAGGGTTACTTGTTTCTAGATAGATTCTAGGGTTACTTGTTTCTAGATAGATTCTAGGGTTACTTGTTTCTAGATAGATTCTAGGGTTACTTGTTTCTAGATAGATTCTAGGGTTACTTGTCTCTACATAGATTCCAAGGTTACATGTCTCTAGATAGATTCCAAGGTTACATGTCTCTAGATAGATTCCAAGGTTACATGTCTCTAGATAGATTCCAATGTTACATGTCTCTAGATAGATTCCAAGGTTACTTGTCTCTAGATAGATTCCATTGTTAACTGTCTATACAGATTCCAAGGTTACATGTCTCTGGATAGATTCTAAGGTTACTTGTTTCTAGATAGATTCTAAGGTTACTTGTCTTTCAGACAGATTCCAAGGTTACCTGCCTCTAGATAGATTCCAAGGTTACATGCCTCTAGATAGATTCCAAGGTTACTTGTCTCTGGATAGATTCTAAGGTAACTTGTTTCTAGATAGATTCTAAGGTTACTTGTCTTTCAGACAGATTCCAAGGTTACCTGCCTCTAGATAGATTCCAATGTTACATGCCTCTAGATAGACTCTAAGGTTACATGCCTCTAGATAGATTCTAAGGTTACTTGTTTCTAGATAGATTCTAAAGTTACTTGCCTTTCAGACAGATTCCAAGGTTAACTGTCTCTATACAGATTTCAAGGTTACATGTCTCTAGACAAGATTCTAAGGTTACATGTCTCTAGATAGATTCCAAGGTTACTTGTCTTTTAGACAGATTCCAAGGTTTCCTGTCTCTAGACCAGTGGTCTCTAACCTTTTTTTCAGCCTTCCCCCTTTCCTTGAGTAAATGACAAGACCCCAACGAACCTCATGAGTTTATGACAAGACCCCCACACACCTCATGAGTTTATGACAAGACCCCCACGCACCTCATAAGTTTATGACAAGATCCCCATGCACCTCATGAGTTTATGACAAGACCCCCACGCACCTCATGAGTTTATGACAAGACACCTACTTCCACCCAACATAACAAACTAGGAATTTTAAAAAAAGAGGATAAAACAGATCTGCAACAAGTGAAACAGACAGTATGGAGATACATTTTGGTCAGAATGCGTTCTTAATCTATATTAATAGACTTTTAATGGTAAATGCACAAACTGCTTAGGAAAACAAAAAAGACCCTTGTGTTTATTTTATAACATTTTTTAAAAGTATGGCTTATTATTAGGGGTACAAATGCACTCACTTTCAAAACTGCTGGAAACCCCCTTCCCCCCTTTTTTTTCAATTTTTAACCCCCCCCCCCCCCCCTCTTAGGTTAAAAACCACTGCTTTAGACAGATTTCAAGGTTACTTGTCTCTAGACAGGTACTAAGGTTAACTGTCTTTAACTCTATTCCAAGGTTAACTGCCTCTGGACAGATTTCACAGTTACTGTCTCAAAATAATACCTCTGAAATCACACTGGGACAATAATGTAATAAATTAAATGAGTTAAAGAAAGATGATGAAAATAATACTCACAGACAAGGCATATGGCAATAAACCTTTCTGCAAGAGCTGGTACAGCACAGTCCGGGAAAATTGGCTGCAGAATGTATAAAGATGCTATCAAGCTAAGAGCAGCAATAGCAACTGGACAGATCAACACAAAATTTATCCACAGGCAAATGAAAGCTGGAAAATCCCCGAAGGCACGCCGGATATACACATACTCTCCGCCAGACTGGGGCATCGACGCCCCAAGTTCAGCATAACAAAGGGCACACAACATGTTGAACACACCACAGACTGTCCACATTATCATGGCAAAGCCCACAGATCGGGTGTGCCGGAGTATTCCCACGGGCGACACAAAGATTCCGGAGCCAATAATGATTCCAACAATGATGGCCACCCCCTGAAAGAGGGTGATATGTTTCTTCAATGCTATATTTTCTGGCATGTTGGAAAAAATGCCTGCGTTGCGAGATATAAAAACAACACTTCGGATTCTTTGAAGCAATATTAGCACTGGCTTTTGCTATGTCTCGGTCCCTGGTTTTTAATATTCTGTGATGTTCGGGTGGTATCTGATTAGCTTACCATAATATAAATCAGTCTGCATTTACATATTCCGCAGACAACTCATTCTACTATCTTGATTTCTGAAAGTATCTGTTGCTTTGGTTAATTTCCCATTTAAATAAATCAGTCTTCATTTATATCTACCACAAGTGCTACTATTATCCTGTTATCCAGATGGTGGCTCCATGGGAAAGAAAACACAAGTTGTTAACGGTCTGTGGAATGGAAAAAAAACAAGCTTTATTAATTTAATTAGTAATAAAGAATTAAACAAGCAGTAAATTATGGGAACATAACTATATAATCTGCAATGTGTGTCATTTAACAGAATTAAAAGTCTATGGCTAAGCACTAGCAAGATTTTCTTCTTAGCATTTCCCAGCTGCCAACTTTAGCATAAAATCCTGGTTGTTTGTCCACTTCTGGACTTTGGTCTCGTTCCAGAGCTTGAGTTTTTTTTTATAGATCAGACTTTTTTGTATGTAGACAGTTGGTTCCTTACCACAGGGAGATGCACTCAAAGCTCAAAGGAAACACCCCCTGATTAGTCTAATTTAATGAGATGTTTATTAGAGGAGCAGGAAGGGGTGTGGGGGGGGGGGTGTGGGGGGTATCTCCAATTGAAGCCCCAGAACACACTAGGATAAACTAGCAAGCAAATCAAAGTTACTATTATGAAATAATGCATCCTCCTTGTAGCAATATATTGATGTTGGCTATCTCACAATCTTTGAGGAAGAGAATCAGGGCTATCAAAAGACTCTTAGAATTCCAAGAACCAAGAAGAAAAAAATACTGACATACTAAAAGACCGATATCAATGAAAATTAGTTGACAGTGACATGATAAGAACAGTATTGGGGAAGAGGGGGGGGGGGAAAGTATAGTATTATGTAAGACAGGTGGGGTAGGAGGGCAGCACAAAGATAGGCACAGGCCATAAAAGACACCTTGAGCAGGAAAATGAAAGTGCATGAGGGGAAGAGAAGGCGAGGGACTAAGTTTTTTTTTTTTAGCTAGACTGTGAAAGAACATTCTGTACTTCATTATTATGATAACCTTTGATCCTTTCCTCAGGAAATTTATGCCGAAAGGCAGTCAATATTTTCCCATGTACTATATAGCTTTGACTTTCCTAAAGTTGCAACAGGTCAGACATTTTCTGTGTTATCAGCATACAGTTTAGTGTTGGAGTACATGGTCAGCATTTTCTGATGCCAAGTTGCAGAGCCACAGCTCTGTGTTTCCTGCACCGAAGAACTTCAACATATGTTGGCAAAGTCTGTTGTGTCCTGTCCTTAGTCTAAAAGATGACACACTGTCCCCCTCTAGAGAGGCAATAAAGTGATTCTTGGGGAGAAAATTTGGTGTGGATAGTCAGTCCCCTTTTTTAGATACTAGTTTTTATTAATGCCCAAGTCTCTAATTAATAAGTCAGTGTGAGCATTTGTTGCTCAGGTTCTGAACGTTGTTATCCCAGTCCTGACATAGGACTAAATTATCATTTATTCATCAAGCAGAAGACACAGAAAGATGACGGGTTTTATGTGCTAGTGCTTCCATCAATACACCTCCACGACCTTAATCGGTCAAGGGTTATGTTATGTTATGACCACTTTTTGAGATAGTGCAGGTCTTCTTTTCATTACACCTGCCAGTAGTTTTGAGGTGAGATTATACAACTCTTATCAAGTTTATGATGTGACGTGTGTCTTCCACTGTTCCATACAGCTGGGTTTTAACTCAAATGCCAACACGCCGAACCTGGGATCTCTCTACTACATATAGAGAACATGCCTGTAGCATATGTTCGGTATTCTGTGTTGTTTGTCTTCATGCACAAAGTTCTGAATCCCCAGTTTTGAAACTCATCATCATCATTATCATGTAGCAGGTCCTTTGCAGAAAGTTGTTTTCATCACTGTCTGCCTGAAAGAAACTCGGTCTCTCGCCAGTTCTTCTGCCTCATGCACTTTCATATTTAAGGTGTCACTTAAATCCTGTGCCGATCTTCATGTTGGTTGACCCCTACCCCTCCTTGCTGGTACCATGCCTTCTGCTATAATTTTTTTCCACTGCATCGTGGCGTTTTGAAACTGCTGTAAAAAAAATACAATGGCTGCAGAGTCAGTTTTGTCTAGTATGCAGTCTAAATATAACTGTTTCTTTTGTGTGAGGAGGTTGTCTGGGTCTTCAAGAATGTGTCCTGGATGAAAAGTGTTCCAATGGGTTCTAATGGCTGCCTTGATCAAAACTTTATTTTCATTATATGTCCATAACGGGGTCCCAAGTCTGAGGATTTAATACCGAATGGCTAGTGCTGTCACAAACTGTGCAGGTTAGGAATTTATTTTGTTCCAAGCAGGAAACAAAAATCACATCAACCTACAAAAGATTTAAACCTGGGTTTCTCAAATGAGAGTACAGCATTCTTAACCACACTTTTTAATGGGAAAAATACTGAAGGTAAAACTGCCCTGCAAAACCGCAATCCAGCCAGTACATTACAAAAACATGCACATCAGTTTTTAAATATTTCCCAAGCAATGCCTTTTTTTCTGGAATGGAAGGTGCCGGTAGTCAGCAAAAAGTATCTAAAAATGTACCAGTACTCAAAGGTGTTGTTTACAGTAAAAAAAGAACATTCATTACTTTTTTTAAAAGGTACAAATACTGCCAAACCGTTGCATACTAACGAGGGGGAAAAAGCCCCAGTTGTGAGAGAGAATAATGGTATCCCAGATAACTTTAAATTAAAAAAACCACACACACACACGGATTACACAATGTGATTATTACACAATCATCTTAAAAAAACATACACTTAAAATTTATTAAAACCAACAACTCCTACTCTCTGATAGAATTAACACACAATCTATGCAATATTAATTAACCAAAAGTAACTGACAAGCATAAATAACCAATATATAAATAGATAAAAATCTCTAGGTAACCCAATTATAAGCCAGGTGGTTTTAACAGGACATGATTGCTTAAATTACAACCACTATTACAACAACTACAAATCCAGTTTCGTCCTTTTCAGGACGAAATTTTTTGTCATTTGAAGCCCTACTCTGGCTTTTGCCAGGGTAGCCGCAATATAGGCAGGCCATAAATATGGCCAGATGTCTGAACGCGGTTTCTGGGACCTCTCCACGGCGATCCTCATCCGCATGGTGGCACTTTGTGTCATCGGGTGTTTATCGCTTGTGTGATGTCCTGGTGGGGTAGAAAGTCAGTCAGTCAGACAACAACTACAACTACACAACCCAGTCAATAGACTAGGGTTGGATTAAATGTCACTTAAAGGATATACAACTAATCTTTTAAGTTTTTAATATGTCACTAGAAACTATGGTGACATGGTTAGTGCACTTGCTCGTGACCACAGTGTTCTATATACAATCCGTCAAAATAGCAGCAGAAAAACTGTTAAACATATGTCATATTTCAAAACCCGTGGTATTTCTGACAGATGCCAGAGTGGTGCTTCAGGCACTTTAATCTGGAAAACAAACTGGTATACGAACACTACTTTTTTAACTAGGCAGCCGGTGTTAGGTAACTATGCAATGGATACCATCCCACTGTGAAGTTCCTGGAAATAAAAGAGCTGATAAACTAGCTAAGGAACGTGCAAATAAAAAAACAACCTGGCTTACCAGTCTCATATCAACAAAAGAAGAGAATAATCAAATCAATCAGAAAGCCACCAAAACTGGCACAAGACGATTACCATTTGATGGACAGACTAGAGCAAGTTATTATTCTACGCCTTAGAACAGGACACAATCGACTTCACAGCCACATGTACACACAATTTTTAATCGGTGAATCAGCCATGTGCACAAGTGGATTGGCACCTGAGACAATAGATCATGTCCTCCAAAACTGTCCCAAATCCAACATATCAAGGCAAAACTTTTGGCCAAGAGAAACACCGGTGCAAGTCAAACTTTACGGGTCGCTGAGTGAATTACAAAAGACAGTGATGTTCATACTAGAGACAATATTGCATATATAGATAATATATTTTAAGCGAACTAAAGCAGTCATCACCTGGTTCTGGTAAATGTCTTACTTCTCATAGAGCATTCAGTAAAGCAGCCAGGTCTATTGCTTCTCCAGCCCTCACAGCAATCTTTCCCCCCCTGTTATTTCCTCAGAAATGTTTTAGGATTCAAGCTATACACGTTTAACATGACACTTTTTACAATGTTACATTAAGCTAAAAAAAAAAAACAATCAAAAATACAGTTCTAAATAAGGAGGTCATCACGATAAGGCTACAAAAATCACAAGCTTTTTCTTATCATTTTAGAGTTTTCAAGATATGATTGGCCGGCTGTAACAAAAACCATGTTGAGAAAAAGCCATGTGCTAAGTGATGATACTAGGATAAGGATGGTAAAGAAGATATAAATGTAGTTAACAACTCAATTCTTTAACAAGATACTCTGTGGACCCCTAAAGATTAAAAGGTGATAATGCTTTGCATGTTGATGCAGTAGTTCCCACTAACAAACATGTCATAGATGTCAACTGATTACTGGAGCTTCTTTTGAAGGTAAAGTGCACCTGCTTGAGAGACATGGAATCAAGAGTCTGCATAAAAATCAGTGAGATCTGTAAAATGGATGTACATGCAAAACTCAAGTTCTGGAGCCAAACTAATGTACAGAAGTGGACAAACAACCAAAATCAGAGTTTACAGACGGTGAATACTAAGTAGGAGGAGAATAAGCAGATGCAATTCTTCAAGGATTTTGTTTAAAATACCTTTGAGTTTCCTTTTACCAATAAAGTAAACCTTAGTTTTAGGCTCTTTAAAAAAAATGTAATTTGGTGTAAGGCTTCCTACTGGTCACAAAA